TATTTCTTTAAAGCACCTCATGAGGTTCGTTGTAGCTCTAAGCAAAAATGACACGATTCTGGGTAGTATTAATATTTATGTTGAAAAAAAAGGAGAATTTTAGCATTTCTATTAAAATGCTGCAAAAGGACACAATCATTGAGGACCATGCTCTAATTTTTGGTTGCATTCTCTCTTATCTTTGTAGGAAACTTTACTAAAGTACAAAAACACTTTTTCACATATTGGAGTCAAACTTCTAAAATGGTAGAAGGTAGTTTTTCACAGTTATTACAATTTTCCCCCAATATAAAACAAAGTTTGACATAATGGTGCCATACAGCGACCTTTTCTTCTTCGTCTTTCCCCTTCAGGAGTCACCACAGCGAATCATCTGTCTCCATTTAGTCCCATCTTCTGCATCCTCTATCCTCACACCAACTAACTTCATGTCCTTTCACCACATCCATAAATATCCTTCTTGGTCCTCCTCTCAGCCTCCCACCTGGTGGCTCCAACGTCAGCATCCTTATCAACTTATGCCATCATTGTCTCTCCTCTGGACTCAACCAAACCATCTCAGTTTGACCTCTCTGACTTTATCTCCAAAACATCTAACATGAGCTGTCCCTTTGATGGACTCATTCCTGACCCTATCTGTCCTCGTCACTTCCAAAGAAAACCTTCTGTTTTAACTAGTCTTCCTTCCTCTCTTTTCCGGTACATATCTATATCTTTTTAGCTTTGCCATATCAGGAGGACATGGCCTACAGGTGATAGCCAATAAGAGGGGTGAGGGTTTTGTGACTGTTTTTGTTTTTAAAAGTTGGCTTGTTTTGTAGATTTGCCACTGCAGCGTTAACACAACTTTTATTAGAAGGGAGTGTGTGTAGTCTCCACTGTTGCTAATCTTGCTACTCTTGCACACTTTCCTGGGTGTATTTTCATTGGTCAATTGCAGACATGAGTCATACGTTTTCTGATAAAGCTTGAAGACTTGGGGACTGAATAAGCTATTGCTGGGTTGGTCACACTGGACAGCCACAGACCAAATCACATTTATGTTCACAACAAGAGTTTTGCCTAAGACAAATGCACAGTGTGGTGCGAGCTTTAAACATCTTGTTCTTCCTCTACCTTTTTAAAAAACACTCAGATAATAGAAATAGTTGAGTTTGAGTCTTTCTTAAAGGTGTGGATCACTTGTTTAATCAATACATTTGCAATGGTCTCTAGGAATGAATGCCTTGTAAGTCGTACTCTGGGGAAACAAAGCTCCAGTGCAACGGTTTCATGAAGTAGGAGAGAGCCACAGAAGTCAGAGAGCAGGATTTGGAGACTTATTTCCTGACATTTGGACATCTCGCCTCAGAATGGATAACAGCAACACAACTCTACCACTGACTCTGCTTTGTATTGGTGTTTTATCTCCACAAACAACACAAGCCTGGAGGAGTTATGCTGTGTGGTGAGGTTGCTAATGCTAACAGTTAGCTTCTACTAGCTGAAATATTCTTTGCTTTTTCCTGGATGCTAAACCCACAACAATCTTACCTGTCGCGAGTCAAATTGGACGAGTCCTTGAATGTTAAGTGACAGCGTGATGTAGATCTGTCAGGATTTTCAGATCTTAAGAGTTTCACCTTCTATTTTCTATCAGAAGCTAATGCAGGAGATAGGTGTAGGAGACTTTTTTGCTAACACTTTACAATAGGACTCTATTTATTAATGATACTTAGTCCCTTAATTAAAGGGACTGTATGGACTTTTGAGTTTTTATGCTCGCGATTGCCCCCTCCGGCCAAAAGCGTAACGGCAGCTTCAATAGTAGGCTCGTGCACGAGGCGCGCACGCTGTACGTAAGATGGTGCTTGTCCATGTAAGGCCCTATAGACCAGAACCAGGATCTTGAAATGAACCCTGAAGTTGACTGGCAGCCAGTGAAGCTGGAGGAGAAGCAGGGTGATGTGGGCGTGTTTGGAGGACTTGGTCAGAAGCCGAGCACAGGCATTCTGAACCACCTGTAGACGGTTCAGGGAGGTTCTGCTCAGACACGTGAAAAGAGAGTTGCAGTAGACTAAGCATGAGGAGATGAAGGTGTGGAGAACTGTCTTAAGTTCAGAGCGGGACAGCTCTGAACTTGAGAAGTTAGTTGTAAGACTGAATGTGTTCCAGGTTTCATTTTGAGATTTCAGATGATGTCAGTGCAGAGAAACAAAAGCTTTATTAAACTACAGTAAAATTAAAACTTTGTGTCTGCCTCTTATAAAAGGTTGGCAGCTTAATAAAGAAATATGAGGAGAGGATGCATAAGCTCCATTCTGGATTTGTTTGTCTGCAGCAGGTTTATCACCATCCACAACAAAACTCACCATCGTCCAGAACAACACTAGTTAGAAAATGTGCAGAGGAGACATGGAATTAACAGAAATACCGTAACATTTCAACCTATTTGCCGTTTCTCCAGCAGTTTCTCTTTGCTACGTTAAGTTGCATAATTAAGCAATCAACTTCTGCCAGCTGGAACATTTGGCAGCTCATCGTGGCAGCTTTAGTCTGACTTTTGAGAACGTCGTGGACGATTCTGTGGAAGACTCCCACAGTGTAATCTTATCTCTATAGCAAGGAAGGAGAAATCTTCAGCTTGGGTAGCAGCCAATAGGTCCAAGTCTTAATGCTTTTTTTAATATTTGACCCACAATGCACTGTGATGGAACAATTCGGTTCTTGAGTCTTTGTAGTCTACAGATGTAAACATACCAAAAGTAGCTGGACTGGGAAGAGAAAGGCATCTTGGCAGAAACATCCGATGGAGAATTGAAAGCATTATTTTCTTTTTTATTATTTTTACAGAAGATTTTGCCCAATTTTATGCTTCAAGGAATCTGTATTTAATTATTTCATGCTTTAAAAATGAAGAAAAAACCCTCATGCCTCCACTCCACAGCGGAGCATCTGTCTTGATTAATAGGAATACTTATTTCATCATTTAGGCTGATTAATTCCATTAGTCTGCGACGCATTAAGACATTCATGACCGGCGCAGGGGATCAATTATTTGCCATGGCAACCAGCAGTAAGGAGATACGTAAGTAATGCATGTAGGATGATGGTTAAACACCCTGACTACCCAATCCAAGCTGCTATCTGAAAATAAACGTGGCACTGCACACTGTGATGTTTACTTCTTTAACAGACGGATATCATATACGACTGTGTGGAAAGACATGGTCCTTGGAAATGAAAGCCATTGATTTTCTCACTGCATCTGTATAGCATCTCCTCTTTCCTGCCAGCACAGCATGTAATATGAGACCACAAGTTTTCCTTTACCCAGCGCAATCAATTTAACTCAGCCGAGCTCAGTGTCACGGAGGGAGCCTTCCTAAGTACCTTCTGCCACTAGCACGCATCCTTCCATGCTATCAACCTCTGGAAAAAGAAAACAGCTCTGTGAGCATAATAACTACAACGAAATGCCTGCATCAGGACCCAGCAAATCCTATAATGCCTGGACAAATCATTATGACCACAGAGTGGTAACTGTGTCATGGATATGAGTAGATATGCATGAAAACACCCAACAAATCAAAGGAATCACTGATCTCCAACTTTTTCTGTGTTAGTTCTAAAAGTTAAATTATTTATGTATATATGAAATGATACATCTTTTAAACTACATCACTTTTTCATTTTCTAAACAGAAACCGAGGGGAAAAATTATTTTTCTGAAACTGGCAATATTTTAAGACAACTCATTTTTGACAAATCAGGAACAAAACTAGGATTTGATTTGCAGCTTTAAGCATAACTAAATTGTGCAATGACATTTTTCACTAGAAGAATGTTTGCCACATGGCAAAACAGATGGCAAGCAATAAATGTAATATTTTTCCCAAAAACTACTCAACAACTGCAACTGTTGAACCTCATCCAATGATTGTGCACATCCTGCTTTTAATGACTGGATCGTAAACCAGCCATCAAACTGCTTTTCTGATCATCTCTCACTCCACTGCATGTAAGCCTCCAAGTGCACGAAGCGCACGATCTCAGGTGGGAAAGGCCGAGCATGAAACAAAGCTAAATTTCATTTAAGGAGGTGTTTCACATGTGCTGTGTAGAGTCTGGTTCTCTTATTGTTGGGGAATATTTTGGTGATGGAGTTAATGTCTGGGAATGCAGCTCATTCTCAACAGCTGGCAAAACAGTTGTCACAGTGCTACTGTAGAAAGGATGGCGTTTGGGTTGCTTCTGGAATTTGCTACAGGTTTCCCCAGATTGTCGGTTGCCCTGAGCTGTTGTGATTTTGAAGTTAAGAATGAACCAAGAAAGCTACAAACTTTTTTTCACCATAAATACACCAAATGCCATATTAGCTGGCATTCTAAACTGGAGGTTTGGGGTGTGTGGATGCAAAGTGAGTGGCAGTAGGTTTGATTCAGAGTTGGTTCAGGACATTCTGGCCTAACCTGCTAGCCAGTTCAGTCAGCAGAGCTGTGTGTAATTGTTGCATGTGTCACAAGCCGTGTTACATTATTGCACCCATCAGATTCTGTGACTCTTGTGGGGAGCTTGGAGACAGGGGGTCGGACCTTTCAATTGTCATAGCCGTTTTCGTGTTTGCAGAGAATGACAAGCTGTGACATGCACGTGTATGCACACACACACACACACACACACGCACGCACGCACGCACACACACACACACACACACACACACACACACACACACACACACACACACACACACACACACACACACACACACACACACACACACACACACACACACACACACACACACACACACACACACACACACACACACACACACACACACACACACACACACACTTTATGCTACAGGCAACAATAATTTTTTGTCCAAGAGGAAAGGTAAGAGTAATCCTTATGCAGAATGGAAGTCAGGTATCTGATCAAATGAAACATTCTTTTCATTATTCTACTAATAAATGAAATTTCCATAACATACAACGAGACAGCTGATGGTATTTTACCTGTAGCCACTGTGACTGGTCGCTGTGTCCAGCTGTCCAAGCATTAACCTTGCCTTGTTTGTCCAAACGGGCTTTCCCCGGCTCCCAAGTGAACATGTCCATGTTGAGTGTCCTGAAGATGCTGGAGGCCGTGACCTGGTAGTCCTGAATGTGTCCTGACTTCATTCCCAGTGGTTCAGAACAGCCTTTCAACAACAAGAAGACTGATTTGTGCAAACTTTCTTATGACCAAATTAAATCCCCTGAAAACACTAATCATTAGAAATATGATTGTAAGAAGAAAAATGTTCATACCTGACAGCTCACAGCCAAGAAGCTCCGTCCGTAAAGTGCAATGCCTCCTGCAGACTTGAGGATAAATGCGCACATACTGGGCTTCGATAGGGGGTGTGAAAGAGTTGGCTGATGGAGCGTTGTTATCAACATTTCCTTTAAAAATCTGTTGAATGGAAATAAATGAGGTTAGATTGGGGTGGGGAGAATGGTGAAATTAATTGCTTTGCTAAAATATGACAGATCATGTGCCTCTGTTTTTACTGTCTGCTCCACAGTCAGCAAACAGATGTCATTCAAGGTCAATGAGAAAGAATTACTGGGGAAACATGAATAAAGTACAATTTTCTGTATCATTTGAGACAGCTAATGTAAAAAAGACAGATGACAGGTGACAGATCATTTGATGCTGTGGCCCCAGAATCTGGAACTCTCTCCCCATGAGCCTGAGATCAGTGGACTCAGAGGTCTCCTTTAAAAAGCAGCTGAAAACTCATTTGTCCAGGCTGGCTTTTGTGTGACCTTCATCACCCTCTCCTTGTTCTGCTCTCCCTACCTTTCCCACCTTCCTCAGGATTCACCGATTTCCCTCTTTCCTATTCACTCTCTCTCTTTCTCTACATTTTTATTCACAATTGCCTATTTTTTGCTCATTTTAAATATATTTGTAATCATTTTCTAAATTATTTTTATATTTTTACATTTTTTGCTTTTGTGCCTCATGATTTTTATCTTGAGAGGCGCTTTAGAAACGATATTTTCTTCTTCTAAAAGTAATATTGTACTTGTTAATTGTTGACTTAATAATATGAATAAACAATTACAGACAATCATAAATGCAAAGTTTAAGAATCGCGACACAGGACAGATTCATCACTGTGACGTTTTAAATTTACAAATGGAACGTTTAGAGATATGAGTGTTCTGTAGCTCGGTCAAACAGGTCAGCAATGGGTTGCTGTCAGAATGACAGAATGTGGTGTGTCCGGTTTGGCGGTGGTTCATCCCATAATAGTATAAAAACTTGATCTAAAAGTCATAAAAGTGGAGAGGGGTAAAGGCCAGCAGGACAAGCCCGGTGTGTGGCGGCCAATTAAAAAGCCATCTCATCACGTCCTCTACCTTGCCCTTGAACAAGCACAGACTGCAGTCACTTAGCGTGCATGAGTCTGCACGTGTTGTTGTCTATGTCTTGTCTATGTGCTACAGAGTATGAGCTGATGATTGAAAGTAGTGCAGTGTGTGCCCACATGCACGCCTTACCTTGTCCTCATCTTTGCCCTTGACTTTGTATGTTCTCCAGGTCTTCCCATCATCACTGTACGCCACTTTGTATGACTTGACATACTCCGGGCTGCCAATACGCTTTGCACCCTGGGTAATTAGGCCTGTGACTCTCATTCTCCGAAGAAGATTGATCTGCAAAGCCCAAAAAAAACAGGAAACATTACATTTTTTAATTTGTCTTGGTCCCAAAAATGAATATTTTCACACACACACACACACACACACACACACACACACACACACACACACACACACACATACACACACGCGCGCGCGCACACACACACACACACACACACACACACACACACACACACACACACACGCGCGCAGACACACACATATATATATATAGATATATTTATTTATTTATTTATTTATTTTTAAACTGTGCAAAGTAGTTTTCAATACTTGTGTCAGGTGGAACCAAGATCAAGGTGAGTGCCATTCTATGAGAGTTCACAAGTCTGCGAAAAAAAAACAAACATACTCCATTGGGAGTATTTTGTGGTTATGTTACAGGGCCACAGATCATCACCACTTAATTTGCCACAGTCCTTGAGCAAAGTTCCTGCACTTCTGTACAAATCAAATGTGCATCTGTGATCACGAGCAGTGAGAGCACGCTTGTCACTGGAATCGATTCACCTCACTGTATCTTCTCTGTCAGGGTCATCCATCTTATTCACAGTCTGGGATCAAACGGAACATTAAATCAATCCTCACACTCCTCATCCAGTAAATCCACAATTTGCAAACTGTCGATATATAGTGCCGATGCGAAGAGATTTTGTGAGTTGAGACAGAAAGAAAGAAGCAAAGAAAACAGGAAATGAAGAATGACCTTACTCAGCAGGATGATGCCCTGTGCAGACATCAGATTATGCTTCTTTACAATTTAGGGACCCATAATATGTTTCCCTTAAGTTAGAACTTCATGGTTCATCATGAAAAGAAAAATCATTAAAAGTTACTAGAAAAACCTGATTATGGAACATCACAAAGGCTTGAGGAGAAGTAACACTCTTAAAACGAAATGAAACACATTTGTGACAGTAATTAAGAGGTATAAAAATAGATATAATAGCAGTAATCAGAGCGACAGTGGCCCATCTTTAAAAAGAAACACCTCAAACATCACACTTCTTACACAATCAAGCTGAGAAAAACTGATGGATAAGTACTTTGGAACAGTCTCTGACAGCTCAGACAGCATAATGAGTGTAAAACATACTGCATGGTGAACTGAAAGAGAAAAAAGAATCAAAATCTCTTTTAGAATCATTCATCGTAGCTTAAAACTGTTAAAAAAATGAAACAGTCGAGCTTTTCTGTTTACATCAAAGTATTCCTTATGGCTGAATTTGATGTTTTACGTATACATCATTTAAAATATTAAAATGTTGCATTTTCGTGCAGGGTTGACATGTTTTATCAACTCTTTAGAAGGTTTTCCAGTTCTTTAGCCTCCTCTCATTATTCAAAAAAGATTCAAAACTGTGTGTTTCATTATCTGTCTGTACCAAGTCTAACAGGCTTTCTGCAGGTTTAATACACCTCACGTGTCACATTTAAACAGCAGTAAATGTTACCCACATTTCATCCATACTCACTTAACAAACATGAGCAGTGAATTCGGTGAGTGTGTAACAGCTGAAGAGTGTTTGACAGCTCATCGTAACGCAGAGGTGACTAAGGAGTGGTGTGTTGTTGGTCACTCACATGCTTTCCACACAGGCAGATGGCTCCAGAGAAAAAAAAAGAAAAAAAAGTACTTGGGAAAAGTCTTATTTAAACAACTCTGAGAACTTTTGTTGTCGTATATAAAACTTAACAAATCAATTATAGGACATAAACTTCTCAATCTTGGAAGATTTCCACAAATTTAAAGTAGAGGATGAGTTCGCTACTTATTAATAAGTGCTTTAGGAAAAACCCACATGCTCCAAAACCTGTAATATCATTTTTACTGTGAAATTAATAATGATAAAAGCTAATGAAGATGGTCAGAAGCAGTGGAGAATAAAAGTTGACCTTGGGGAATACTAAATATATATCTGAATCTCAGTCTGAATCAGAAAACAGTATCAGTAATTAAGTACTGTGAACATTTTATCTGTAATCAGATGAGCAAAGTTAAGGATGAAAAATATTTACAGAATAAACAAAAATCTCTAGAACAGTGTATTCAAAAACACCTCGAACATTACTGACATGTTTCAATGTTGTCCGACAAAAAATAATAATTGTCAGTGATATTGACCGACTATATTCTCTTAGCTTGCCAAAATGACATAAACTTCCTGAAAATAAACTGCAGGCAGTCTGTTGAGAATTTGACAGACATTTTTTTTTCGTGTATCTGTAGTTCCCGGGTCTGCAGCCACACCCTTCTCCCAGAGATTTCTTCTTCCAAGCATTCTTATTGATCTGTGCATCAGAAGCTTGAAGCAGTTGTATTACAAACACGAGGAAATGCCTTGTAATTGTGACATTTGTGCAAAACTAAAAAAACAACAGACAGATGGAAGAGTTTGCCCTTGAATCTGCAATCTGGAGCAACACCCACCCACCCCACCCCCTCCAGGATTTATGCATTATTGTCTTCAGAAAGCTGTCAAAGTGATCATCTAACCATTACGGCCCCGTAGGTTTCCTCTCCCTTCACACCTTGGATAGCGCCTGCAAGCTGCCACTCTGTTACAGCTTCCTTTGAGCATGAAGAGAGGCATGCTGCTGCACAGGACCAGCTGAAGCAGCAGCTGCAAACTATTTGCAATTAGGCCTAGTCCACACGTAGCCGTTTTTTTTTAAACGAATATCCGCCCCTCCAAAAACTTGCATCCACACCACCTTGCTTAAAAAAAAACTCTGTCCACACGTACCCGGATAAATACGTTGTTAAGGACATGCCAGACCTGTAGGCGGCAGTACTTCCCCCGTTTTTAACCTCGTCCTTCGTCTGTGGTCTTCCACAAGGAGCAGTAATTCCGCTTGCAAAAACAAACAAGCAAAAAGCGCTTGGACAATTGATAAAGCGAGCGCAGCTCTGAGGGCATCCATGCTGTCGGCTAGTGTAAACACAGGTCGCACACGTGATGTCAGCATTTTTTTGTCGCGGAAAGTGACGTTGCGGACCTTAAAACTCCGGTTCTGTCTGTCCACACGCAGACACCCAAAACGGAGAAAACGCAGATCTTCACTTTGGCCGGAGTTTTTAAAAAGATCCGTTTTCGGGTGAAAAAACTCCGTTTTCGTGTGGATGACAGGCCAAAACGTAGAAAAATATCTACGTTTTGGCAGATCCCCGGCTACGTGTGGACAGGGCCTTAGACTGCTCAAGCCTGAAAAAAGCTGAGGTTTTTAGCCAGTTCAAGGGGCAGATCCATTCTGTTATCCCCTTGGCTGTGAAATGTTTCTCTTCTAAGAAGAACTTGGTGTTTAGGGTTAGGGCATAAAGTGCTGAGTTTAACGTTGCCCTTAAGACACTTTTGTAGAGTTTTGTGGCACAGTTTCTTCAGCTTGTTCTCTTTAGTGTTTGACCCAGTTTTCTCCTGCGTGAGACACTCCCATGTCCCCCACTGCTATAACAGCATTTTTTGAGAAAACCTTTGAGCCAAACCTACCAAACTGGTATACATGCCTCATGCAGGACATTTTTTAAATCACGTAGGACAATGTCCTTGTGGGCAGCAGATTTGGATCTATTTAAAAGTGGGTTTTAAAGAAGAATCTTTTATATAGTGCCTCTCAAGATAAAAATCACGGAAGTGACCTCTGACCATTACATATTATACTTATATTTATTGTGACAATAATCTGTTGAAATAATTAGAAAAGACGTCAATGCATCTACAGTCTGTAGTTTTCAGGAAGTTAATAAAATTTTTGGCAAGTTAACTGAAGACGCACACCGATCAATATGTACGACAACTTCAAGTTTTTTGTCAGACAATATTGAAACATATTTTGTACGTTCATTCTGTGTGTTTCATCCAACTGCATTACGGTTATTTTTTAACACAGCAAAAGTGTTATTTTACCTTGTTTCTGCTGACATTTTGACTACCACTGTAGTCTTCCTCAGAGCTTGCTGCTGTTGGCAGTGTCACTTCCTTCTGCGTATATCAGTGGGCAGCATATAATATTGTCGCCCTCTGCTGCCCCAGCTGTCCAAGCCAATGACACAGTCCCATGTGTGATCCAATGTGTAGACTCCTGCGTCTCTGTACATGTTTTTATGTCCACGTCTCCTTATTTCTATGGCTTCCTTAATCCATCTTTTGTATTTTCGTTGTTCTGTGTTATGATCCTTGTTCAGTCCCAGTCCATTATATGGTTTTCCCTTGTGCAGTGGTCTTTTACGGCAGATTTCTTTGTTGTACTTTCTGCTTCTTGCTTCGCGGCTCTTGTGTTTCTGACTTGTTTCTTTCTCACGCTCTTTTCTATGTTCTATTGTTCATATGTTGAGTTGCCGGTTTCTCCTATGTATGTATTATTGTAGTTTGCATGGGATTTCGTAAATGACTCCACACCTATATCCTGCTGATGAATTGTCCTTTGGGTATACTAGTCTTTTTCTAAACGTCATGTATGGTTTTGTTGGTGGGTTTATGCTGTGTTTTTTCATTGTTGCTATAGTTTTTTGTGTTATGCCTGTGTTGTAGGAAAGAGGTATTACTGGTTTTGGTTCTTGTTTTCTGGATTTCTGGCTCTGCTTTGGTTGTTCTTTTCTTTCTGTTGTTGTTTGTTGTTTTCCTTTGTTTATTGCCCATGTCGGGTATCTGGAGGTTTTTAAAGTGTTGTATATATGTTGGTCCTCTTGTTTACGGTTTCGCTCTTCTGTTATTATGTTCGCTCGATGGTATACTGTTCTGATCACTGACATTTTACGTATGGTAGGATGTTCTGATGTCCATAATAAACATTGGTCTCTGTGTGTTGGTTTCCTGCATGAGTTTATATTCAGGGTCCCACCTTTTTGTCTGTTTATTTTCATGTCTATGTACATTATGCTGCTTTCTATTTCTTCCTCATATGTTAATTGTTTTCTGCGTCATATATGTTGTTCAGGATTTATGTTAGTGTCTCCATTGGTCATTTTGATATGATTTCTAGTATGTTGTCCATTT